TATACATTGAGAGGATGTAGCAAGAAGAACATCAACATTCAACCTCACCACTTCTTGGGTGGTCCTCCCTTCATTTTCTGCCCCTCAGGGAAAAGCAAAATACTTGGTTCTCTTTCAACATTTCCTTAGTCTCTGCAGTGTTGTTTAGGAAGAAGGTGGTTTCTATTACTGCTGGAAATTATCTAGAGAAGATGGAACCCTATAACCAGAATACTGTGGTACCCATAACTTCATTCTAAAAAAAGAAAAAAAAACCCTCTACTTGCCTGGTCTTTGAGGCTTAATGTTTGGTACCATGTGAAAGGCGAAGAGTCAGAGGAGTCAGCGAAAGTCGGGGGCCCAAAACTGCACAGTATGGACCAACATGATGTCTGAAACACACATGAGATGGAAAACAAAGAGATCTTCATGATGTCCATGGTTGCTTCTGGGAATGGAAAGATATAGAGTCAAGTGAAGTGTGCCAGCAGCCCGATTTTACTACAAGATACATTTTAAGGCCATGGCAAATAGAAGAAGCAAAAATGCCTCCATATAGGGTAGGTGGAAGAGTGGAGCTGCTTTGAGCAAGGACACCATACACGAGAGAAGCAGTTTGTAAGGAAGGAGGGCAAGTTGTGTGGGTCTCCCTGGTCTCAGAGACTGGAGTCCACACCTCTGTCAGAAGCCAGGAAAGGGATGTTTAGTGAGAAGAGGTAAGAGGTCTTGAGAGATTCACCGAGATGAACTCCATATGATTCATATCCCTTATAAAGAGAACCTCGTGTGTTAAGTGTCCATTAGGATTTTTCTTGTAAAGATATATCACAGTACATGAATTCCACAGTTCAGTCATGTGACCCTGATTCTGGCTTGATTTTTTTAAGGTCATGTCTATTGCTTAGAAGTTGCATCTTATCAAAAACACTGATGACAACTTATGCTAGAGAGGATGCTGGGTAAAGGGAGCACTCCTGCATTGCTGATAGGAGTGCAAACTAGCACCGCCACTTTGGATTTTAGTACAGCAATTTCTCAGAAAATTAGGAAACAACCTTCCTCAAGACCCAGCAATACCACATTTGGGTATATTCCCAAAGGATGCTCAATCGTACCTGAAGGACATGTGCTCAACTATGTCATAGCAGCATTATTTGTCATAGCCAGAACCTAAAAACAACTTAAATGCCCTTCAACTGAATAAAGGATAAGGAAAATGTGGTACATTTACACAATGGAGTACCACACAGCAGAAAAAATGGCATCTTGAAATTTGCAGGCAAATGGATGGAGCTAGAAAACATCATTTTGAGTGAGGGAACCCAGATACAGAAAGACAATTATTACATGTACTCACTCATAAGTGATTTTTAAACATAAAGCAAAGAGAACCAGACTACAAATCACAATCCCAGAGAACCCAGACAACAATGAGGACCCTAAGAGAGACATACATAGATCTAATCTACATGGGAAGTAGAAAAAGGCAAGCTCTCCTGAGTAAATTGGGGGCATGGGAGAGGGATGAAGGGAAGGGAGAGGCAGGGAGGGGAACAGAGAAGATCATTCCTTCACAAAGCCTCGGTGACCTTTAGGTGACACATGGAATTGGGATGATGACCTTATTTAACCCACGTGGGTCAGCTCCAAATGCCCCCATCTATGCTTTTCCTCAATTGAAATTTCATTTTACTTCAGTATTCTAATTGTTAAGCTCGTTAGAGGCAATATGTTATTTTAGAACTTGCAAAAGCAGCAAGATGTTTTTGATAGCAAGGAAAAAAACATCTAGCCCCCAGGAACCAGACACTGCTGTTAGGTATTTCTCTACTATATGTGTGGAAGTATATATGTATATGTGCGTGTGTGTGTATACACACATGTATACTTATATGTGTTCTTGTGTATTTCTGTGAACACATACACACAAGATAAAAATTATTTTATTGATGAAATGTGAATACGTAAATTTTAAATTTAAATTCATAATGTCATGAATTTAATGATATATTCTATTTTGTACTTTTTCAGCCTCTATATTATTGAAAATGGTTCAGAGTGTTTTGTATATTTATATTCTAGATAATATTTCATTATAAGAACCTGTCATAACATCATAGCATTAGACAGTTGAGTAAAGTGTGCTCTTTGTGTAGATTAGGTGGGAGGTGTCTCTTCCTTTCTTATCCTCAGCTTCTACTCTCAACACCCCTTGCAATGAGAGTTTTAGATGGTGTCAGGGCATGCCGTTGTGAAAATGCACAAGTGGTCAGGACTATTGAAGCAATGAAGAATGAGTAGTGTGCCCTTATGGTGTCCCTCTTGACAGTTTTTAAAATTGTGTTCACTTCCTTCTCTCCTGTCCACGTATTCAGAGACATGTCTGAAGGTATACACACAAACACAGTCACATCTACGCCCAATCTAGGGAGACTTTCATCGAGTCCCTTAATGGCTTCCCTTTCCACCATCCTTCATAATGTGCACTTTACCTGAGAACAAAACCAATGTGTCTTAAAGGTACGCAATGATTGCCTTCCCCTCCTTCACAGTGCAGTCAAAGATCAGGACTGTGGTCAGAGCCCCAGGAGGGAGCAGAGCCAAGGCTCAGGAATATGCACTGAGAGCTGGACAGAGCCCCATTGTTTTGCTATCTTTCTGTTTTCACAGGTGCCACAAAGTCATTTTATGAGTCTTCACCATGACCCGTGCCACAGAAAGACAAATAGAGTTATAGTTTTGCTGAAACCAGGTTTAAAGCTTCGTGCTCAAACACAAACACGGTTTCTAACACAGCCCAAGGTCGCGACATCTCTGCGCTCCCCCTATTTATCCCCTTTCTTCAGCTCAACTTGTCTTGCTCGATCTTGCTGTCTCCATTCCAAATATCATCAGCTGATAAATCAGGTGACAGAGACCTGTAACAGTTCATTCTCAGATTGAAGATGACAAATTATGGTGATAAATTCTTCCAGGAGAGAAGGCAGCGGTCCGCATTTCCACATGTAGAAACTGATGTACAATGAATTGATGCAAGGGTTAGATAAAACTTAACTTCGTTCTATTTGATTGATACCGTAATTCACTTCTATTAAATAGCAGTATATTTCTAAATTTTAAAAAGAATTTGAAACATTAGTGTCCTTTAATCCTTTTAAATACTATCATTTTAAAGGGAACATTCTCTTGATTATTAGGTACAAAAATTATGAAAAAGGGATCTCAAGTTTCTAACAAGAGTCAGGATTAAGCTTTTTTTTTTTTTTTGCAAAGATAGAAAAGAATAGGACATTAACTCCCAAAGCAGGATCGAAATTGAATGTGATAATCACTTCATTGCTCCCACAGCGTCGCTCTCATGGGCCCTGGGACATAAGGCTGACATATCCAGGTGTGCTCACTTATTCACATACCAGGAAATCTTAGCAGAAAATGAACAGAAAACATTCAAAGAAATGAATACAGACATTGTGTTTCTTTACGTCCTTCTGTAAAGCAAAGAGGTGAATGACCATTTCATCCCGGGAAATCTGTCTTCATGGCTCTGTTTCTGTTTTCTCTGAAACACATCTAGACCCTGTCACCTGTCTCCTTCAAGTTCAGCTTTTTAGAGCCTTACAGTCAGTTCTCTTTTCCTTTCTTTCTTTTCATGATTTTCAGTCAGTGTTTTTTGTCATCTGATCCATAGTAAGCCCATCTGAATGCTTCAACTCAAATGCTTAGATCTGCTAGCTTTGTTTTTAAAAGTATGATACCATCCCATGTTAATTGATGGAATCCAAAAGGAAATCAATTTATTTAAATGTAAGTATAGACATGCTGAATGTATGTTAATTATTACGTAGATATATAAATATATACACATGTATCCCAAAGATACAAACAGAATGTAAAGGTCTCTTTAATGTTCAAGACAGGAGCTCCTTAGCACTTGTCATATGAAAACGAACCATCTTCCATGTGTGCCCTTCCGTGCTCTGCATCTACCCTGTTCTTCATACCCCACCCTAGATGGAGGCTCTGCCGCTCTAGCACCCTACTTCAACAGCCTAAGTAGTAAGAAAAGCTTCACCATCCTGGGGGTAGTCTTCAGTCAAGACCCAGTCTTACCAAAGGGAGGCATTAGTTGAAATGAAGAACTTGGGTAATGTGCACTGGAGACCTGAAGACCTGCAACACAGCCCGTGCTGTCCTTCCTTGCGCATCCTCCAGTCACACAGCGTACAATAATGTCCTTTCCTGCGGCTCTTTGGCCATTCCTCTGTCTCTGAACCTCATAGGTTTCCCAGGGTACTAATTGCAGCCGTAACAGACACAGTCACCATGATAAAGCAGTTAGCCTCGCATAATATTTTACAGATGAGAAAGCTTTCATAGTTGTGGTCAGTTTCATGACTTCATTTTGGTAGGGTGTTTGCTCTTGCTAGCCATTGCTTATAACATTTGGTAGTTCCTCCCTCCCCTTTATAAAACATCCAAGTGGCTACCCTCCAGGTACTGTAAATCTTTAGATCTGCCAGAAATAGAAGCGTATTTCCTGATGCATGCTACAGTCTTGTCAGTTCTGTGGTCCATAACCTCCTGCTTACATAGCTTTCTCTTTCATCAAATGTGAGACAGTAACTGTAATTGCTCGGTGGGCATCTGGAAGTAACATTAATAATGACGATAATAATAATAATGACCTCATAGAATGGATAATTTGGGGGATTCAAGAACATTTACAAGCTTACTGTGCCATATAGTTAATGATGAGGTGCCAAGGTTTCTCACTACCCCCCTTTCCAGTGGTATTTCCTGCTCGGATCAGAGGACTAATTATAGAAAATAGTGTCTTTTAAGAGCTTTCCCCAGCCCACAGCATACACTAGCATAAAGCTCCAAGTGTTCCAGTGTTGTTTTCAGAGATGACTTATGAATGTTGTTTTGCAATTGTATAAAATGTGTATGATGTAATCATTTAGTGTTTATTTATTGTGTGTACCTTCTACTCAGAGGGTTGGCATTATTGTTCCTAACAGTGACGGATACAAGCAGATCATGCCTTATGACCTCTACCATCCCCTTCCTCGGTACGTAAATCCATCATCCTGATGTTAGAATTAGCACATCCCGCTTCTGATGCTGTAGTGTATGTGTGTAAAAATGCAGAGCTGTTTTTCTCCAAATAAGATGATAGATGACAGATTTGTCAAGTCCATTCTGAGTGCCCCGCTTGAGTAATCCTGGCCTGCTCAGAGTGTAAGCTTGTCGTTCGGAAACCGTTTGGATAGAGCCACATTTAGCTGGAGCGGATGCAGTCACTCACGCTAATTAGCTCCACTACGTCTGCTTATGCCCTTGGAGTGGACACAGTAACTCACTCTAATTAGCTCCAATATGTCTGCTTATGCCTGGGTCTTTCTTTCACTCCCTTTCCACTGCCTCGCTGGCTCCTTTGGGTAGGAGCCTGGTCGTTCCAGAGCCATTGCTGACTTAAACACACACCGCCTGATGTGTGGCCACAGCACGGTGAATATGAAGTTCCACGCATGGCATTATTCTAGTAGGGGCTTCCTGTGCCCGTCCTTTATTTTTGAAAAATTATAATTAATTAAAGGCAATTTTGTATCCTTCTTGTTCAGCATATTTTACAGTATAAGGTTTTTTTTCAACACACAAAGGTTAATTGCTACATTGTTTAGCTAAAGTATGTTTTAAAAACTAGAAAAAGGGTTATTCAAATTTTAAAGGACTTTTTATCTTTATATTTGAGAGAAAACTGAAGTTGCTGAGAAAGGTACTAGTTGCCAGTTGTATTGCTTGACCGGAAATAGCTCTGCAGGTAGCAAAAATTAGGATTAGTTTTAAATAGCTTTGCTGTTTTCTTTACTAATTTGCCCCCCAGGGAGTCAGCTGCTGTTTAGAGTCCTGGGTTTCTATGAGACCATGAGCAATTTGCTAAATCCTAAACTAAAACATGTAGGAAAAATAACTGTGTTTTGAACAGTAAAATTCAGTAAATTTAATTGATAGTCTCTGAATTCCTAATATATTACATCTAATTGGATGCTAACCCAACTGTCCAGTGATACTTCATTCTCATAGCCCTGGCTCAGCAGTCACAGCTACAACCCAGATAAGTAAACATGCATGCTCACTAAATATGAATTAGTGTGTTCTCTGTATGCATTCACACATATATACAAACATATACAAGTGTATTTACATGGATAAAAGTCTCCAGTAACTGGCAGGAGACTGTCTGGTCCCTGTTCTAGTAGCCATGTGCAAAGGGAGAGTGACTGACACTAGATACAATTGTTGCAAAATGTGTGACTAAATGGCTTCCTCCCCAGGTAGTTGGCTCCCACCTGCTGTCCTTGTACTGATAAGACAGTAAGGGACCTCAGAATTCCCCTTAGGTATCTTTTCCCAGAAGTCTTCTCCTTGGTAGTGTACTGGAAAAAATCAAAAGATAAGCACAATTGAGCCAAGATTGCCCTTGATTTCAGTTTCTGTGTCTGTGAAGTAAGTGTTCCGAGGACACATGATCTGGTTGTCTGGAGGAAAGCCATGTATTTTAAAATAAAAATGGAGTTGCGTGTCAATGTGAACAACACTGAGTATTTGTTTCTCCCACCAGGAAATCTCTAGGTTCCTGTCATCGTCTGTGATTTTGCTTGTTTATTTTTTCCTTGTGCAAGTAATACCTTTCATATGGTAGTCTTGTCTTCTTATAGAATGAGACTTCCCGCAAGTGTCTAAAATCTGGGGCTGCCTCCTGCCTATGGTCCCACTTGCTGGTTTCTGCACCAACTCCTGTTTGCTTATGTGATGTCTATTCATCTCAGCGGAAAAGAACAATTCAGTTAGCAAACAGACTGTTTCTTGGCCCTTGACTTCTGTTTTCCCGTAGTAGTAAAGATACAAAGTCGGCTTCACTGACAGCTATTTCTATAAATGTGTTTCCATTTAACAAAATTAAAGCTCAAATAGTCCTCCAATAGCAATTTCTTGATAACTGAGGCAGAAAAACTTCTCTCTAAAACACTTAAATAGGCTTCAGACAAGCATAGATAGTACCCACTTAATACATTGTGGTTCTTTCCTGTTTGATGCCTTTGACTTAGCGTAAATACCAACCTAATTCTCATGATGAACTCATTGATTGACAATGAGCTCCTTCCTGTCTCTTTTGCGACATCCTTTTTAATTTTGAAAAATTCTTAAACTAATCATAGTGTGGATTTAAGGTGATTAAAATCCAAGTGCATTTTGTGACATATTTAATATTCTTCTCGGACAAGATTTTTTTGATATATTTTCTTTTGTCTGTAGTATTCACCCTGGTCACTGTTTTAATACCTCATGACAAAAGAATGTCGTCTCTAATCTTTCGTTAGACTTTAGCATAGCTAAATATGCTGTGCTTCAGGATTCCCTGTGGCCTCATTATTATATGGGGAGTCATGTGTCACTATTTCGCAAACAGACCTGAGTTTGTGAGCTCGAGCCATGCTAAGAATCTGCACAGTAATATTGCCCTCATCTATCTTGCTGTGGTCCGTGATACCGAGAAGAGTGCCTACATTCACTAGTGAAATTGCATGGTTAAGGCAAGCATTGAGACAGAAATTAATCATTCTCCCTTTCATGAGGGGTGAAGTTTCAAGGTTTTAGAGGGCCAATTAGAAAATGTTTTCCCTTATAGAACAGCAATCATCTAGGTGATTAAATGTCCATTAAAATATTGCTGCCTTACTAGCAGATTAAATGGAGCATGAGAACATACTTATGTATTCAGCCCATCTTCAGGCTGAACCAGGCCTGTTCTCCACCTTGAGAAGGAAGTCATGCAGAGATTAACCTAAAGGCAGACAGAGCTACCTTATCCTTTTGCAAGGAGACCTCTGCAGAACCACTTCATTCCCTTGAAAGGACTTCTATTCAATCGCTAAGGGCTAGAGAACTTCAGTTTCCCCATAGTAGCAATTTTTTATATATTCTCTGGGGAAAATGCTGGGTTTGGAAGCAAGGTTTGGCTGTTGGCAGTGAAGACGATGGTGTGCCTAACCCTGAACAGTGCAGATAAATGTAGGACATAGGAAAGACACAGGCGTTCTGGTTTCTGCAGAGGAGAATCAAGCCCACAGATATATGAAACTTACTTATAGAATAATGGGCTGCCTGCTCCCTATGCAAAATTTAAAAATGTAGTGATTCAGATCTGACAACTCAGGGATGTTCTGATTCTTTCTCATTAAGATGAGATCTCTCATGATTCTTTAAGAGTTCTTAAAGCTCCATACCAGTGCTAACTATCAGAATACACGTAAGAAACATTCATGGCCCCCTCAGTGCCATACTACTGTAAACAGGAGCTCCATGTGTCTAAATCTACAAGAGGAGAGACAAAAATCAGATAGCGATCTGGTCCTAATTGCTACAGAACTGGAAGGAAGGATGGAAAGGAAGGAAGAAAGGAAGAAAGGAAGGAAGGAGAGAAAGAGAGGAAGAAAGAAAAAATAGAAAGAAAAAAGAAAGGAAAGAAGGAAGGAAGGAAAGAAAAAAGAAAGAAAGAAAAGGAAGAAGGAAAGGAAGGAAGGAAGGAAGGAAGGAAGGAAGGAAGGAAGGAAGGAAGGAAGGAAGGAAGGAAGAGTCTAAGTTCTCTTAAGCATCGTTGGCAATCTTGTCATTTTCTGCCTTAACAGTATCTCCGTTCAGTCACCATAAGCCTTTCAACCAAAACTAAGCAACTAAGCATGTTTACAAGTCAAGGATTTCCTTACTGGAGGGCATCTGTGGGTCTGTCTCCAGCTAGAGAATAATACTATTATTGATACTTCTGTTCCTCAACTTAAACACACTCAGCAGAGTCTAGGCACCTAGCTTGTGCTGAGTGTGTGGAATCCTGGAGCTGACAGTTGCAGAAGGGAGAGAGAAAGAGCTATTGTGTAGGGAGATATGTATGAGCTCCTCCTATTTAAAAAAATTAAAAACCCAGAAGTGATAATATAAAATATTAAAGATAAAAGTATACACCAAGTGGGAAACTTTTGTGTTTGTTGCTTATTTCAGCTTTAGACCTCACAGAAATACTTAGTGCAAAGTAATTAAACATTAATACATATATAAATATATGCACATGTATGTGTGTATTTTATATATATGTATATATATACATATATAAACATATATATGCAGAAACTACAGAAAGAGGAATGCAGATAGAATCTCCATTGTAGCTAGGTTACAGACAGCCCAGACATCCAGTAGATTGCTCCCCAGCCTGTAGCCTCCTATATCTGTGCTGAGATTTGAGGCTTATAAAACATTCTTGCCAAGGTTGAATTTTGCCACTTGATGAAGTTTCAGCCTAGGGAGAGCTTTGGTTCTCTGGAGAAGCAGTGATCGGCCCAGGGCACCGGGTTGGTGTGACAGGTCACTGAGGAGGTTTGGCAATTTGCACGTCCGCCCTGATGACTCCCCTTGCTTCTGTAGGTGGGAGGCCACCCCGTGGACCGCGTGCTCCTCCTCGTGTGGGGGGGGCATCCAGAGCCGGGCAGTTTCCTGTGTGGAGGAGGACATCCAGGGGCATGTCACTTCAGTGGAAGAGTGGAAATGCATGTACACCCCTAAGATGCCCATCGTGCAGCCCTGCAACATTTTTGACTGCCCTAAATGGCTGGCACAGGAGTGGTCTCCGGTAACTGTGCCCTCTTTCTTTATTCATTAGGAGAGTAAGTCCACTCTTAGCTCGCACCGCCATGCTCTGCTGAGTGCCCTGTGCAGCACCATCCTTCTCTGCCTGAGGTCTCAAAGCCTCTCATCTTAGCTCCTGGAGGACGAGTGCCCAATCTGACCAAACATTTGTTAATCTTCCTTCGAGATACTTCAGCTTCGCTTCTTCTTCTTCCTATTGGGAAGCAAATGCCTTCGAAGAGTTATTGAGGTTGAATGATCCTTACTCTGTGAGAGCTGCTTCCATGAGATAGCGCAGCAGATTTTTTTTATTATGTTTGTATTATGTAAAGCAGGTCTGGATAGCTTAAATATACAACTATGTATATATTCACTGAGAAGAAAAATGATTAGATGAACATAGCACAATAGTTAAAAACAGAAATGAAGTAGAATTATTGAAACCAAAAATGCTACCAATATTAGCTGTTATCATGGCTAGAATTGAGCTTAAAACATTCTTAGCTGTGTGTGTGACTCAGGCCTGTAATCCCAGCTCCTTGAGAGAGTGATTCAAGAGGCTTGTGAGTTCAAGGCCTGTTTGGGCTACATAGGTAAACTCTAACTCAAAAAAAGGAGTAAATTTTAAAAGAAAAAGGCTAGTGATATGGCTCAATGGTAGAGCACTTGCCTAGTATGTCCAAAGCCCCAGGTTCAGGTTCAGTCCTTAGTACTGTACAGACATAAGCGCACACACACACACAACACACACACACACACACACACACACACAGAGAGAGAGAGAGAGAGAGAGAGAGAGAGAGAGAGAGAGAGAGAGAGGCTTATTCTTAGTTTCCTGCTTACAATGTAAAGAAACAAAAATGGAGGAAATAGAAAGATGTCGAAGCAAACCACTGTGTCTTTATCCACAAAACAACAACAGTAAACACAACAACAAAACATCGCACTGTGTCTGTCAGGACAGATTTAAGAGCCAGGCGTTCCTATATCAGACCTACCCCAGGGCTGGCAGAATTTTCAGAGACACTGTCTGCATCTGCCCATTGACTCAGCTCCTGTCAGGGTTTTATTTTTTTTTCCATTTCAATACAATGAGTTGCATTGTCTGTGCTGTGTTATACATTAGATGTGGTGATAGCTTAACATCTCTCAATACCCTTGTAGAAGTCAGTATTTCTTACATTTTGGACAGATCTGCACAGTGTAACTAAAGTTCTATGGGTCATTGAACTTGAGCATACTGTAGCTTTGGGTATCTTTTGTGGAACTGTATTTGAGTCTTTCTCTGCAAACAGTACAACTAATTGATATATCCTCCAAAAGCTTAAAGGATGATGTAATTAACTTCACCTCTGAAATCCAAACAGAAAAAAAGATCAAATAACTGGTAAGAAGTGGCTTAGATCCACCTGAAGGACTCATATACATAAATATGTGTGAAACTATATTTTATTTTTCTAAGAAGTATACTTCTGTAAGTCTTGGGTGGGAAGTAAAGTAAATCGGGCTTTGCCTATGAGTCCTCTCTCTCTCTCTCTCTCTCTCTCTCTCTCTCTCTCTCTTTCTCTCTCTCTCTCTTTTGCCATCTCTTCCCAGTGCACGGTGACGTGTGGCCAGGGCCTCCGGTACCGTGTGGTTCTCTGCATTGACCACCGAGGAATGCACACCGGGGGCTGCAGTGCGAAAACAAAGCCCCACATAAAAGAAGAATGCATCATACCCACGCCCTGCTACAAGCCCAGAGGTAACCGGATGGGGACCCTTCACCCTTCCTCCATGAAGACAGGCATTCCAGCATCTCACATCTCCTTGGATTGTTTTCTAAGATCCCAAAAGTTCTTAGCAATGATTCTTTATAACACAGACTAAATTAAATAGACTTGGTTCTCCTTACATTTTCAATTTTTTTGTCTTATTTTACAATATTTTTAGTTTTATGCAAAATAATGATTTTTCACTATGGCATTTTCATTTATATATTTTATTCATATATATTCATATAAGTATATACACATACATGTGTGTGTTTATGTGTGTAACCTACATTTATTCACCCACCACAGTGCCTCCCTGGCACTGGCACTGGCCCATTTTCTCTGCCAAAATAGTTCTGTGATTCAGTATCTCGTGTGTGTGTGTGTGTGTGTGTGTGTGTGTGTGTGTGTCTGTGTCTGTGTGTTCTGATTGTAAGATAAAGCATGCATTTGTATTAGTCTTTCTGAGTCTGGCTAATTTTATTTAATATAATTATTGCCAGTTCAGATGATCCTGACTACATCCTTTATGAAGTAGCACATGTAGAAATCTATATATACACTTGTCTTCCAACTCATAAAACTGTTTGAAAATCATTGCTGAAAAATATTAGATTCATCTTCATAAAGGGAGACCAGATTGTATATATATATATATTTCTGTATGTATACATATATGCACATATATATTTGTAATTTACTATCTCATTTCTTACTTTTAAAAAGAAGGAACAAATCCAAATATTTCTATTTTGCTGAGCCTAACATATGCTGGGAAACCACAGACCTCAAACCAAGAGAATGGAAAACTGTTACTTTCTATATTTAAAGTTAAAATGCGACTGAATTCCAGAAGTATAATTTGACATAGAACTGTGACATATATCTGAATTTAATAGATGTCAGATATTATTTAATTTTAAATAATTAGGAAAAATATCTACTTAATCAAGAGGCATTATAATTATACTGGATCTTTCAGATTAGTGTGATTATTGATCCTATTTTTATGTCAGTATTGTTGGTGTGTTAATGAAACAGGAAAACTCAGAATCACAAACCATTTGGAAGTTCAGAATTTTGTATGATATGTCATTCTAATTTTAAATGCCAAGGACAGCTCCCATTTCTTTCTTTATATTGTTTCTTTGATACATCACATTTCTATGAAAGTCAGCCATGAAGTAGCTCTATGCTACACTTATTATTTGAATGAGTAGCATTGTGAGCTCTTAATAGTCTAAAAGGGAAAATAAAAAGGCATACCAGAAATCCTGATTATTCTTAATAACCTTTCTCTAAGTTTGTTCTTCTGTAAAATGGGGGAAACACTAATATGGATATGAGAGGTTCGCAAGAGCTACAGTGTAGCAGGGTCTTGACCTGCTCCCACTGCATGCTAGGTTTCCTCCAGGCAGCATCAGTGTCTTCAAGTGTCAGATGAGATGGCCACAGGCACTGGGCTCAAGTGAGCAGAGGACAAGCCTACTGTGGGTGCCACATTGGACACTTTGTCACACTGGCTGTCCTCTAACTGGTAGATGCTCACGCTGTAAAATGATGCACGTGCCCCCACCCATGAGCCAGTCATCTCGGCTTTGGCAGACAGACATTTCTTATTTTGTATTTTGTAGCTACAAGCAGCGGCTGCAAATAGAAGACAAGTGGTAAAAACAACTAAAGATAGCCAATTATTTATTAGTTCTTTCTTTACCAAGCAGCTTTGGATGGAAGAAATCTGTCTGTAGTTAACTACCAAGAATAAAAATGTGGATTTTGCACAGCTAAGTGGTGCTCTTGACTCTGTAAGCATCATTAAAATACTATGTAACTCCATGGTGCATGCATTTGTGGATGTATTTCTTTCATCTTTGCAATTATATGTTATACAATGGTGACAGAACTTCACTGGCTCAGACTATAAAGGCAAATATGCCCATAAATGACCTTAATAAATATGTCAGAAATGAGAATCTTGGCAGTTACTTCTATAGGAGCAGTTAGAACCTCCCTAGGTTTTTCTCTTTCTCCTCCACATTTTCCCCAGGAAGCACTTAAGAAGCTTGTTTGAATTGTTTGCCCAAAGCTAGATGAATAGGTAAAACACATCAAATCATGGTTTATGGACCTTCAGTTGTACATGTTCCATTGTTATTGAACTTTGGGGGGGGGGGCCAGATATTGAATAAATCAGAACTTTAAAACTGTTTTACAAATTTCAGCTTGGTGGTTTGTTTGGTTTTGATAATGCAACATAAGATCACACTTAGGCAAAAGACAAAACCATTATAACAGTACCCCCAGTTATCATTGACTATACTTCGTGTTTATTTTAAAAGGTGTCAACAGTGCCTTGTTGAGTCCCTGTATGATTATCATCAGTAATTCTAACACAGGGACTTTGATAATAAAAGAACTTTGCCATTCCGCATGGAGGGGGGAAGCATATGTATAGACCCATGTGTTAGGAAACCCTCCAATCCACTGGCCAGTCTTCTTGACGCAACTGTCCTCAGAGACAGCTCTTTGCCACAACGATAATTATTTGCAATTATTGGAATGACTTCTACATATGCTGCAAAACTAGAACTGCTAAGAATGAAGAGCTGCCATGAACCCTCAGGTAGTTCCTAACCTCTTCCCTTCCTACTGTACTTATTCTCAGAGAAACTTCCAGTAGAGGCCAAGCTGCCATGGTTCAAGCAAGCCCAGGAGCTAGACGAAGGAGCTGCTGTGTCTGAAGAGCCCTCGTAAGTTCAGTATGGGGAATCTCCTTCTGAAGGGATTTAGTGGGGTCTGCTTGCTGTGGCTTTCATGGAGTCTAAACTATGTGTAACTGTCTTCCCAAGGGGGCGTGGGACCTCTCGGCCCTCCAGTTAGAGCTGGATCTGTTGCTAAGTGTTTTTCAAAACTTTGATTGCATTCAAATGAGATTTAGAACTTTTTTGCATGCTTCCTGTCTGAATCAAAGTATTTCTCAGTTTTGCCCTACGTGAGGAGAAACAAATAGGGTGATTATCCTCTCCTCCATTTTTTTTTCCTTTGACAAGGAGCCAAAGGTGAAAAATCCCAGGCTGATGATATAAAAGAGACTAGATGGGCTGGGAATGTAGCTCAGTGGTAGAGAACCTGCTTGCAAGCATATGCAAGGCTATGGGTTTAATCTTCAGTATAACAATGGATGGATGGGTGGATGGGTGGATGGATGGGTGAATGGATGAATGGATGGATGGATGGGTGGATGGATGGATGGGTAGATGGGTGGATAGATAGGTGGATGGGTGGATGGATAGATGGATGGATGGGTGGATGGATGGATAAAAAGACAGACAGACAGATAGATTTGATATGAAATCTGGGCACAGCATTCCATCCTCCCTATCTCTGAACTTTATAGAATGGTTATTACCAAATAGGAGTAAATAAAATATGAATAAAGGTAAAATGCATATAATAGTTTTACCTCTTCATTAAAAAGATGGTGGATTTTACCCAGTTACTCATGGTTCTATACAAGTTCTGTTTGTAAACTATGAAATCTGGACCAGTAGGCCCAGATTTCCCACAGACTACGGAGAAGTACAGAGAAGCTAGATCCATACACACTGATTCCACTGGAGACACTAACAGGCATATCTGTTGCATTGCATTTACTCAGGGGAATGCACTCTTCTGATCCAGCCCATATTTGGTAAAAGTCATTTCACAGTGTGAAGCCTTTCTAAACTACTTTACTGTAGATACTAGGGTCCATATGAGTTAGGAACATACAAGACATGCGATCCAACCTTCAGGAATTCACAGTAGAGAACATAGGATATCATAATTTTCAAATTCAGGCCAAGGTGTAAACTTTACTAGAGATATAAATGAAGATATTCAAATGCAATTTTTTCTCCACTTTATCCTGTTTGAATCTAAATCTGATATACTTTTTTTTAGGATGTAAAACTGTGTCCCTGAATGATAAGCGATTTTGAATCCCTGGTTGTGGAGGAGGTTCTCCACTGATGCAATGAGCCAAATCCAGCTGAATTAGTAAGACCAGGTTTTAATAAACAGAGCAAAGTCCCAGGTGACTCTCAGAAAGGCAGGAGAGAAATCACTTGGACAGTCTCTGGGCTAGGTCTTAAATACCCTGTAGGCATGGTCTTCTCAGGCGGAGGGGTTGCCGCTTGGCGGGCTTTCTGAGAGGCAGTGTTTGGGAAGGGGAGGGGGTTGCTGAGGCAGAGCTGCCTTCCATCTGTATACTGAGTTTCAAGAAATTTCAGTAATCAGTGTTCACTTGTAAATCATCTGTACAAACAGCTTGATTTTCCAGAAGTAAAAAGTGAAATTTTAAAAAAATAATATATGCATTAAAACTCACATTTTTACTTAGGAGAGCAGTTAAATTAAGCATAACTTGTTTCTTATTTTAAAGTTACCACAGAAAAAAATAAATTAAAAAGAAGCAACTGAAGGTGACAGAATTTTGGAGAAAAGATGGCTGAAGGTCACAAAACAATCTTTAATCAAATAGACGAAGACATTTCCCCTCCTTCTCAGACCAAGACCCGGTCTCCAGTCAGGACCTAATTTGACAGATCTCATTGATGTGAGGATGTCAGGGTCCTTGACCCTGCATCTACCCAGGTTTTGTCCGAGACAAAGAAAAGTGTCGCATCACTGGTTCGGATTACTCCTCAAACTGCGCTTTGTTTCATGTAAACAATCTGCTCCCCTTATACATTAGGTTCTGCCATCTGCTCTAAGGCATATCTGTCTGTAATGCTGCATTCTGACTAATGTTAAATAATAGAACCAAGTTAAAACTAAGTAAAAGCATATTGCATCTATGATTATACTTCTTTCTGATTAGTCGGTACCACTCCCATGAAACCTGTAGGTGGAATTAAATGCTTATGCAGAAGCATTTCACAGACCATGATCATGCATATTTTATGGCATGCGTTTTCCACTAATGTTCCAATTAACATGCATTATGCTTAATTTTCATAAAAACCCATAAAGCAGTTAAACACACTTTCAGCCATTGAAATTATAGCCAAATAAAATTAAGTCATTAAATTTCACTCTTCATGTAATGGAATTGCCATCTTGGCGTGATTAATCTGAGTTGAAGTAGATTATAATTGGAGTGCCAATTTAATGTAAAGGAAAATGTATACAGTTATGTTCAGAACAACAATTATATTAATACCAAAATGAAACAAATGACAGCTGTAGAATTAGGTAATGAAAGCTATATGTTTTCCACATTTTAATACATCTTACATGTTTAATGTACTGAGCCCTCAGAAAGCTCTTAAGTGTCACATTTTTTAATTGATTTTGAATTTTAAAAACACAATTTTGCATGGTCTTAATTCCTTCTTTTTAAAAAAGAAAACCACATAGACATGCTTCCAAATGTATATAACAACCATAATTACTCTCCAAAGTACAATGAAAAAATGGTATACTGTCAGCAAGCCATTCTTCCCCCACCAACGAGACTCACATTGGTTAAATTAAACAGTCATGTGTAGAAACTGCAGCTGTTGGCTCTGAACTGCTGCTCTGAGGCTGGAGGGAACAGAGGTCAAGAACGGTTATCTCTTGCACTAGCTGCCACAGGCTTGGGTGAGTTATACAGGAAAGCAACAAATACCACTGATTTTCCCATATGGAAAGCGAAAATATTATCAACAGCCTGTCTCACTAAATAAATACAGGAAAATCACTGTTAGCATATGGAAATGTCCTTATTGAATGTCAGACTTTCCTAGTAACCCCAAAATGAAAGAAAAACTGCTTATCATTAGCCAGAAGTATGTTGGAAGGCAATCTCACTAAGATATGTTTAGGAGAAAGCTATGCTAAAAGACAAAGAACTGAATTGCCAAGAAATAAGTAAAATATTGAAGAACACAAGAATGTTCTCACATTGTAGTTTCACTAACCTAAATATCGTGTGGATTCTGTGAATCCAGATATACCTCCCAGAAGCACTGAAATAAGTATTCAGACTGGATCATTTTGCATGATATAGATTCATCATGTTAGGTTTCAGCTGAGGCTTGGAGTTTGTGGTTCAATGACGGAGACCCCGGCACTTCCAGAAACAGCACTCAAGTGTTCTGAGATTCCATTCTGTTCCAAAACAACAGAAAATGTACCTTAGGCAAACGGGCTGTAGCAAAGGCGTCATCTGTGTATACAGAATGGAATTGTGTGCCCGTGTATGGGAATCCGTACCTCTGTGCTGGTTTTCCCCCCAAACATAGTTTTAATTGATTATCTTGGTAACAAATAGCAAGAATCTTATTTTATGTGTATGAGTATTTTGACTATATGTATGTCTGTATATCATGTGTCTGTTGTTCTTGGAGGTCAGAAAGGAGTTAGAGCCCCTGGGCCTAGACTTACCTACAATTATGAACCACCATACAGGTGCTATGAGTCAAGTCAGGATCTTCTGCTAGAGCAGAAAGTGGTTTTCCTACTGAGCCTTCTCCCTAGTCCCAAAGTTATTTTTTTTTTATTTTAAGTGCAGAAGGGGTATGAGACCAGTTATCCACAGAGGCCATCAGTTGTAAGCCATGTCATATAAGGTTCCCCAATATAAACCATCTGATGTGAATTCTGGGAGCCTAACTTGGATCCTCTGGAAGACCAGAAAGCCCTCTTAACTGCTGAGCCATCTCTCCAGCTCCAGTAGGAATCTTTAAGCAAGGAGTTTTTCTTTCTCCTATTGAGTAAGATAACACAAATATAATCCAAACGCCAAGCTGAAAAATAAGCAGATTCGGGACTTTCTTGAATGAAACCCAGTATAGACAGTTGTAAAAATAAATACAGTAAACTCTTCTCCAAAGCTGTCAGCTGAAGAATCAAAAGAATCTTTGTTCTACTTTAACCCTGCGTTATCACCCATCCAAGACTCGGAAAGCACAGGGGAAGAGACGGTAGAAAGATTGTAGGAGCCAGAGAATGGGGAAATACATAGCAAATAGAAGTCTTTGGACATGGCATAGCCATTACACTCAGGAGCTCACCATAGCTATGATTAACTCTAGGAGACTGAAGCATCACGATTGGGCCAATAAACCTTCCATCATGGCTGTGAAGGGACCTATGTACCTCCATGCTCCTAGAGAGACTATTGGCCATTAACAGTTGTTTGGAGGAGATGTCATTTTCTTCAGAGATGTAATCACTGATCGGTGGTCCTTGCTTGGGTAAATTACCACTGTCAAAAATTTTAAAAAAGCTCCAATTAAGTTCAGTGTGTCACAGACAGACAGACAGACAGATACACACACACACACACACACACATACACACACACACACACACACACACACACACACACACACACACACAGGATAGGAGGAGCAGGGCAGGCTGGGAAGAAAGGTTCCTTTGGGAAAGGAAAGGGAAAATAAGAAACCAGAATGGTGACTAGAGTGATGGAAGCTCATTAGATAAACACATAAGGCTGTCAACAAAAACATTTGAAAGAAACCCTTGTGCACACGTGGTTGAAAATAAACATCTGCAATTAATATTTGGGGGAGTTTGGTTTCTCTGAGAGTAGTAGTTCTTCTAGTGCTAGACAGGGTAAAAGAGGAAGTGTCTGTGGAGCATTTCTCTGTGGTGTCTCCTTAGCTTTAACAACAACAAACCAAGTGGGGTACACCTAGTTGTTTCGGGTGAGATAAAAGAATTCCCTCTAAATTGTCAGAAGTAACTTTATTCTGTGGTAGTTCCAAACTGCAGTGCGACTATTTATTTGGATATTTGGACTGGGAAGAAACAAACTGATTACTGATAGATTTCCCCCACCTTACCTTCAGTTGTAGCTGAGAGGTACACATCACCATCTCTGCCGTTTGACAAGGACACGTTAGGAGCTCTTTGACAGCTCAATTTCTTGGAAAAGCAATAAAATCTCGTGTGATGGTGATCTTCAGGACTTTTAAAGTTGCTCTTCATCTGGCTTGGCTGGCATGGAGTGGGGAGGAAAATGTTTGTCTCCTTTGCTCCTCCAAGTGGGAACAGAACCCCTAATGTCCTAGAGGGCAGCTTTAGGAGGAGACATATTTACAACACACAAAAGTAAGACCAAGATGCACCAGCACTCTGACTTTGTCTCTGTAGACTTTGGAGTCTAAAGCAAAACATCTCAGATGGAGAAAGCAAGAATTAATACATGCAGGGAAAGCTCGGCTCTTCCACGTTTAGTTCAGTTGCTGGCAGTTTTTCCTGATTGGTTCAGAGTAAGCAGTGATGTGCAGTGTCCTTTCAGGTTCTGTGTAGCAAATATATTAAAATTCGTATTAATATTAACCAACTACTCCCTCATCGAATAGCTGACCTCCACCAGGTGGGGAGCCACGTGATGCTGGGCTCTCAAAGGTAAGATCGGGCGATCCTTCTGCCATGAGTTTGCCTTTTAAAGCTCTTGAGTTATCTCAGCAGATTTTCGGTCAACACTTTTGTTTCGTCAGCCATTTGGAATTATCACTGTAACAATCAGGCCTTAAACTATTATCACAAAGGATCTTGGTATGAGCCAGAGGAAAAAAAAAAACAGTCGAAAGCAGCAGTGGTATCTGGATTCCAGGTGGCATCAGATTAGTCACAGGACTGACTCAGAAAAAAAAAAAAAAAAAACTAAGGAAATTCTTCCCTGTGAATGGAACCCACAGGATTCTGGTCTAAACAGAAGGACAAGGACCAATGAGAGTTCCCCAAGATGATCCTACAGTCCTCATGTGCCATGCGGGAGACAGCATTTAAATACATTTAGGACTACATTTCAATGTATTTAGTTAATATTTATACCCCATTAAGTTGTTAGATAGTGTGAATTTCTTAGTGCTTAAGAATGTGCAGCTTTAAAAAGTGGTTAGAAATCTCATCTTGGAGCATAATTCTCATTCTGCCAAGAATATAGAGAGAATCAAATATTAGGGAGACATATAGACAGCAATGATTTTCATATTCTCAATACAAGGTACCTGAGTTTTTGTTCTCTTCATGAATCTCAGGCCATGGAAATTAACAAGGAAGTTCTTTTCTTGTTTTGGTGTGTGTGTGTGTGTGTGTGTGTGTGTGTGTGTGTGCGCCTTAATCTTTAGTGACTGAGCCATCTCCCATGCCAAGGAATATCTTCACTATGCATAGAAATAGACATTTTAAGAATCAAGAGTCATTTCATGTAAGATCAAGAAATTAAGTAGACATTGATGCACAATTACACATTTCACAACAGATAACTTTGGAAGAACTCAGCACCTGCTCACCGTTCATGCTTCAACAGCAGGAGCTAAATCTGATCCATGAACCATCTGCTTGGTACAGGGACTTTGTGGTAGATAAGATACTGCAAAGTTACTAACTAAATAAGGTTTTACTCTCAAGAAACCTCAGGGTTGGAGTTGGAGAGATGGCTCAATGGTTAAGAGCCCTGACTACTCTTCCAGAGGACCTGAGTCTAATTCCCTGCTCCCACATGGCAGTTCACAATTCTCTGTCTCTCCAGTTCCAGGGAATCCCATGCCCTCTGTTGGCTTCAGCAGCTACCAGGCACACATGTAGCACAAAAGTACATGCAGATAAAACACTCATGCACATAAGAAATAGCAATAAATGTTTTAAAAGGAAGAAATCTCTGGGTGTTCTTATCAGAGAAGTAATAAAACTCAAATTTAAATATTGGCCTTGTATCCCCAAATTAAATAGATGTGTCTACATGAATTAGGAAATGTCACTGGGGGCTCAGCGATTAAAAGCACTTGTTGTTCTTCCAGAGGACTTAGATTTAATTCCCAGGACCCACGTCTATAACTCCAGTCACCTTCTGATGCCCCCTTCAGACCTCTGCGGCCACCAGGTACACATAGAGTACACAAGCATGCATGCATGTAAAACTCTCGTGCACATAAAATAATAAAACAAATTAATCAAAAAGGAAATGTTATTTGATGTTTTGGTGTGTGTGGTATGATTGACATTAGAACCCCAGTTCTGCACTACTTATTGAAATTATATCCACCTCTGGGCTAAAATATCAGAATAGTTAAGCTACTAGGTCACAATAATTAAGTGATAAAAATAAACAGATGAAATTAATACATATACTATGAAGGTCGGAGGGATGTGTTGATGTGAACTAATAGTTGGTAGATTATGATTGAGTTTATTTGACTATGGCATTGATATCAAAGTTATTACTTGGGCAAAAGTGACTGGGTCTTCCGTGGCAAATAATCACACATTTCTGTCCCTGTTTTGTCCTCAGTGCACAAACCTGTGTGCTGAAACCAAATGAAAAAAATAATATGGTTTCCTAAAGTCGCTTTTTTTCTCTCAAATACATCCAGCTGCCACCTCTGAGTTGGTGAGGAGTGGGGCCATGTATTTATATGCCCTAACATGGATTTAGCCCTGCTAGGATTGACATCTAAAAGTCAGCTAAATAGCTCTCCACACAGAGCAGTGCTACACCCCAACTTGGGTCTCTATTAGCAACAACAGGCCTGGGCAGGTCACTGAACCCATAAGCCTCCATTTCCTCACTTGTGAACTGAACATTATAGTCTGTACCGCATAGGGATTTTAAGGATTATCATATGTAAAGTAGCCAGTACAGGCCATGTTGAAAATATTACCTGTTGCTATAACTAAACCATTCCTCAAACCATCGGATTTCCTATAGAATCTTCAAGGCTTAAAATCTATTTGTAAGAACCCATTATAAATGCATCTTGTTCTAAGACCATTTAAGAACCACAAGATTTATCCTGAAACTCAGCTTGCAGTTCCCACACCATCTTACCGCCTCTCCTCCCCTATATTTCAGCAACTCCTTGAAGACTCATGTGTCCCACGCTCTTAACTCAGTCCAGACTTTATCCTACCACACAAAGGATAGGTTTTTTTGCTTATTTGTTTGAATTTTAATTAATAATAAATATATGGGAAATTGTAAAAATGAGTAAGAAAGGTTCAGAAACTGCTCCCATGGAAAAGCAGCCTTCTCCTACTCTGAGTTAATACACACAGTCCCCACTGATAGCTCCCAGCATGCACAGAGACAGCAAAATCAATAAAAAAGTCAAAAGCACAGGCAGAGCCATTTTCATGTGGTCAGTAAAGACCTTCACTGCCATCCAAGAAGTCTTACATTCATCACCCCCGCCCACCATCCCCTCTGTTGCTCACTCTGTAGCTGCCTTCAGAAAGTTAACTCTGAGCTCTTGCTAAGCTGAGCCCTAGAGAGTGACAAAGACAAATTAATGGGGTCCTCGTGTGCCAAAATAAAGCATGGACCCTGTCACCACCAATATATGTTAAGTCCATTAAGGTCATTTTTAATGAACTGAACTTTTCATTGGAAAGCTCTGCCAAACTTGTTGAAGTAAAGGAAAGAAAGCTTCACGGAAATGCAAGATAAACTCATTTCACTCCTCTGCAAGAAGAGACGGTCCACACAAAGTGTTCTGAGTTTACAGTGCTTTAGATTCTTATCAAAGTCGGGGCTGAGTGGTGTAGACTTATAATTTCATTGTGGAGTTAAGCTAAGAACCACAGGCACACAGATAGCTGTCAGCCTCACAGAGTCTTGAGTCCCTTTGGGATATAGCCTTTTAAACAGTCAGAGGATCTTCCGGGGAAAGCAGGCCCACAAAGTCCTGCTCTGTTCACACACAGCAGAAGAGCACAGAAAGGTGATCTAAAGCGGTTCACGTCCTCCTCTGTCATCGGTGCGGACAGTGATTTGGCTCTGCTCCTATTCACTATCTACAATTAATAGCATAGCACTTACCCCCCACAATTGCCTTGCTTGTGCTGAGTTTTGTAAAGTAAATTCTAACAAAGGTAAAGACTCTCCGTGCGTCCCTGTAACCTCAGATGAGATCCAGAATGCTCCAAGTCCTTCTTTACTGAGTGGATAGATGGCACTCAGATAAGGCAATGTTTGGCCAGAGCGTCATATATAAATTATGAGGTCAGCATCGGTCTCAAAATTCTTTCTTCTATAAAACAACATTTCCAGTGAGGTTTGGGGGAAGGTTGGTTGGCACAGAGTTTAAATGTGCCTCATGCTACTTGGCTACCCAGCAACCCGTCGATATGAAATGGGCCCTGTAGTTATGAAAAATAGCTAACTTCCATCAGATAAATGAAACCTGAGGCTGTGCACCCCAGCTCTCACGCCATAACCCCCGCACTTGGGAGACCGAGGCAGGAAGATTGACACAAGTTTGAAGCCAGTCTTGACTACCTAGTGTGTTCTAAGTCACCCTGGGTTACAGTGTATGACCCTGACTCAAGCAAAGAAAAGGAAGGAAGTGGCAGGGAGAGGAGAGAGAGGAGGGAGAGGAGGAGGGATGGGAGGGAGAGAAAGAAAGAAAAGGTGAGGGAGGGTGATAGCTCAGTCACTAAAGTGCTTGCCATGCAGGCATCATTTGTTGCCCAGAACCTGAATTGAAAAGCTGAGCCTAGTGGCACAATATTGTAATTCAAGCATTAGCTAGACAGAGACAGGATTCCTAGGGCCTACTAGCCAGCCAGGTTAGTCTAATTGGTGAGTTCATGCCATAAATAACACTGCCGCAAAAACTCAAGGTGAGGTTGAGTATGGTGGCACACACCTTTAATCCCAGCACTCTGGAGGCAGAGGCAGGAGGATCTCTGGGAGTTTGAGACCAGTCTGGTACATAGCAAGTTCAAGGGTGGGCAGAACTCCATAGAGAAATCTGTCAAAAAAAAAATAGGTAGATGGCATGTGACAAATGACACCTGGGGTTGACATCTTTCATGTCTCCAACACATACAAAGTGGGAAAGAAGGAAGGCTGGCTGACTACCCTTGGTTAGTCCAGCAAAGAATCCCTTATGTCTAGGCATCTGGAAAGGCCTCTTTGCAAAGGATATATAAGCTGAAGTCTGAGGATAACTGAAAAATTATTCGAAGTTAAGACACAGGAGAGGATCACCAAGAAAGTGTCCACAGATATCCAACTCTTGAATCAGGAAAGAACTACATGCATTCCTAGAAGTAAAAGCAGATATGTGTGGCTAGAGGGAAGGGGAAGACGAAGGTAAAGGATGGTATAATGTGCCCTTGGGAAGATTATATTTAAGCACCATGTAAAATTATTGAAAGAGTGACTCATGATGATAGCAGAGACAGAAGTCAGATGTGGCTGCTGTGGCCATCAAGAAAAGACACAGCCTTAGCTTCTGTTGCCATGGTTTCTGTTGCCATGGTTTACTGACACACCATAGGTAGTCCACTGAGGGGCTGGGCATGGTAGATCAGTCATCCAGGGACCGAATACTGATTCGGGTATTCATTCAACATTGTTACCCTGATGATTTCTGTACCTCAATCTACATATTGGAATGAAGGTAACGCTGTGAAAATCTTATTTTCAAAACTATCATAAGTCATATGCAAACACAAAATGAATATATCGAATGAATTTTTTATAATGAATTTTCCGGGGAGCTCACTAAGGTGCTGAAACCAATTCAGATAAAAAGTTGGGCCTAAAAAGGTCCATATTTTCCAGAAGATAAAATCATTTTCACCAACAGGAAAGCTTTGCATAATTATACACAAGAAACATCTGTGTCATCATCACCAACCCATTACAAGGAAATGTCTATCTCTTTGGAGTGACAAATACCTAGTCAAAGGTATTTCAAGTCTGTCTCTCACAGAGTTAGACGAGAAGCTGAATAATGCCAGCACTTATTTGGAAGTCCCTGGTAATTTCTTACAGCGTACCCAACAGTCCCCATCTCCAGGGGTTTGGTGAGCTACGTACATGAAATACGTATGCCAATAAGTGCCACTGTTAGCTAATATTATTCAGTGATTGACGCTGACAGTGAAAATGGACAAAAGAGGTTAAGGAGGGTAAATTAGCATTTCAGGGAATAACTGCTAGAACTGCCCGTCAGTTGGAATTAAGAATTGAAGGCAATTGAAGAGTCAAGATGAACTGGTGAATTGTTCTGACCAGTGGCTAGTAGGAACACCTGCTGTGACAAAGAAGGCTGGAAGCTGAATACATTGCTGTGGGGGAAATCAAGAATTCCATCTGTGGGGCCCAGGATGATGGCTCAGTGGGTAAGAGCACTTGCTCTTCAAGCATGAGGACCTGAGTTCGAATGCCCAGCACCCAAGTGAAAAGGTGGGCATGGCTGCCAAGACCTACAATCCCATGACTTGGGGACAGAGACAAATGGATCGTAAGAGCTCACTGCCTAGCCAAGCCAAAATAACAAGCTTCTTGTTCAGATCTCATCTCAAAGCAATAAGGTCAAGAGAAGCAGAGAAAAATAGCCAATACCCTGCTCTTACCTCTACATGGACATGTACCAGCAAGCATCCCCACAAAATCATGTGCATATACCACACATGCACCCACACAATGCACACACATACTACACCACACACACACACACTCATACACCATACACACATATCACATCACATATATACACAATATACCATACACATCATACATTATACATATACACATACCATGCACACACATATGCACACATCATACACACACATACTACACTACACTCAGACTCACACACCATATACACACATAGACGCTATACATATACACTCACACATACCACATCACATACACATTGTACACCACACACTCATACACACACATTGTACACCACACATACACACACCACATCACATACACACATCATATACTACACACACCATGCATCACACACATACACACACATGCACCATACACACACACACAACACACACACACATACACACACATACATAAACGCACACACACCATCACACACAGAGAAATCCATTTAAATTGAAGATGCTTTTGGAACATAGATGTAAAAATATTAAGAAAAGATAGCAATATGTACCAAAAAATATGAAACCTTATCAGCTATGTGTGTCATGGCTCGAATTCCCAATCTGTGTGTTAACTTGGGATGCTGAATGTTCCCATTTCGTCAGGAGTTTGTTAGGATTTACCAACTGACTCATAAAACACTTTAAAGCACTGTGCAAATCAGCGTTTGACATAGAAGGACGAGGTACATTTTTTTTACATTGATTTCTTTAGTTGGGTCGGGATAAGACGGGTTAGCAGGTGTGTGTGTGCCCTGGCATGGGGGGGGGGGGGCAGAGCACAGCTTGCAGGAGCTAGTTCTCTCCTACTATCATGTGGGTTACTAGAATTTGATCTCAGCTCACAAGCACCTTTACACACTGAGTCATCTCTCCAGCCCTGATTTTGTTTTTTCCCCAGTAAGATTAATACTAATTTAATCATTTATTTCAATTCAGTAAATATTAATTGTTCTCTGAAAAGAAAAAGTTCTAAGATTAAATACTTTAAATTTTTCCTGATGATGATGATCACTGAAATTAGGAATTATTAATAAGTACATTGGAAGCGGGAAACAAGAGCTCTGAAGCAGAGCGATCCTTTGGGTTTGGGGGCACATGGACCAGGAAAGGTGACTGAGACGGTGGTACCCAGAGAAGCAAACCAAGCTCGGTCATTTAAAAAGGAAGCCTGTCTTAGTTTCTTTACCTGTTGTGGAACAAGATGTCCTGGCAAAGGAATGCTGGGGAAGGGTTATCTCAGTTCCCAGTTCAGTTATCACACTCAGTGATGGGAGAAAATCTCTTTATGCCCTCAGATTCTCTTTTCCTTCAGGCACGAAGCAGTTTCTGCAAGAAAGCTATCGGAAACTTCGTAAGATGCCAGCTGCCTCTCAAGCCCAAATGAAAAGTCTCTTTTGTTTGCGTTCTAGGATCTGTCAACCTGTTCTTGGTTTTACTGAGACATATCATAGTGATTTTGATGCTCACTCACCTGCAGGCATGATGCGCAAGGATTCGGAGAAGCTACAAGAAGTGGTTCTGTCTGAGGCCCTGGGGAGGGGGGCCCTGGGGAGCACTTGGCCTGGAGACCTCCATAGGAGCTGCATCACTAACATGGGTCTTTGCAGCCCCAGAGGCTGTGAGGTGACAGTGCTGGAGAGTCACTCCATAATTCCATTCACGTCTAGTGCCCTTAGCCAGGGCTATGCATGTTTAAGCGAGATTCTATTTATTTGCTTCCAGGTTCTGGCTATGACAAATGATACTGCTCTGAACATAGTTTAGCACATGTCCTTGTGGTATGATTGAGCATATTTGGGGTATATACCCGAAAGTGGTATTGCTAGGTCTTGAGATGGGTTGTTTCCTAATTTTCTGAGAAATCTCCATACCAATATGCAAAGTGGCTATATCAGTTTGCACTCCCACCAGCAATGGAGGAGTGTTCCCTTTACCCCACATCCTCTCCAGCATAAGTTGTCATCAACGTTTTTGATCTTGACCATTCTGACAGGTGTAAGAACATTTCGGCCATTTTAGAAACATCTGTTGAGGGTTCTCTGTTTAGGTCTGTATTCCATTTTTATTGGATTATTTGTTCTTTTGACGACCAATTTCTTGAGTTCTTTGTATATTTTGGAGATCAGCCCTCCTTTGTCTAATGTCAGGTTGGTGAAGATCTTTTCCGATTCTGTAGGCTTCCATTTTGTCTTGTTGATCACGTCTTTTGCTTTACAGAGGCTTCTCAGTTTTGGGAGGTTCCATTTATTAATTGTTTCTCTCAGTGTCTGTGCTATTGGGGTTATATTTAGGAAGTTATCTCCTGTGCCAATGCATTAAAGTGTACTTCCCACTTTCTCGTCTATAAAGTTCAGTGTGGTTTGTTTTATGTTGAGATCTTTGATCCATTTAGACTTGAGTTTTGTGCATGGCAATAGATATGAATCTATTTTCATTCTTCTACATGTTGATATCCAGTTATGCCAGCACCATTTGTTGAATATGCCTTTTGTCTTCCATTTTATATTTTTTGCTTCTTTGTCAAAAATAAGGTGTTTGTAGGTGTGTGGA